GAAGGGGGGGTAAATCTTCCGGAGGGCAATTTGTTTACCACTTATCCTCCGGAAGATGGACACATTCTTTTATTATCTGTTAACTTATTCTGCGGTGGAATCACAGTTGGTTAAAGGGAGAGGCACGATGTGAATTCACTTAAAAGTGAGTAGTAGTTGTATACAGGAGCGGACTGACCATTTGTAAACTCGGGAACTGCCCGAGGGCCCGGGGTCAGTAGGGGGCCCCATGAGATGCCCCTGGTACCTTTCATAAGCTTTTTTGAGTGTAGTTTGAGTGTGGGTGAGGACACAGGGGCCCCATGATCCCCTATTGCCCGGGGCCCCATGAGTTGTCAGTCCGCCCCTGGTTGTATAGATAGATTTTGTTACAGCATAATACTATTTAGTCATTTATTTTCCTGGATGCTCTTGACACTTGCATTGGAGGGAGGAGGATTATTCTTGAAAGCTTATGTGTGAAGGTTGAAGTAATCAGTGTTTTTTTCAGAAGGCACAGTTTTTAGTAGAGGAGGGTAAGCGTATATACAAGTGATATATAAGTTAAATATGAGCGCCATTTATTGGATTCTGAGCACATTTTGGAGTATTTACATGCTGCACCATGTAGGTTTTTCCTGAGGGTTACTATCCTGCTGTTTGGAGTTTAACAGGATGTCAAGAGAGTGTGGACTTTGTGATTGGAACGTATTTGCAACTGATTGAGATACATACGTGTATTTACCTAATAAATATGGTCTATAAATTTAATTCACCTGCCAGGGAGCAGAGGGTTTTCAGATGCTGGGACTGTTTGAGAAGTATAACTCTAGTGCGCTGATATATAAGGCCTATTCCCTTCATGAACAGGCCATTTTTTGCATATTGCACTCCGCAACTCTGATTGCCAATTGCGTAATCATGCAACACAGTATCCAAATGAAATTTATATACAGTTGCAAGAAAAAGTATGTGAACCGCTTGGCATTACGTGGAGTTTTTGCATGAATTGGGCATAAAATGTGCTCTGAACGTCATCTAAGTCACAACAATAGAAGAACACAGTCTGCTGAACATAATACTACACAAACATTAGATGTTGCCATGGTTTAATTGCACATAACATGTAAATATTCACAGTGCAGGGAGTAAAAAGTATGTGAACCTATGTGGACTTAATAACTGGTTGACCCTCCTTTGCAAGCAATAACCTCAACCAAACGTTTCCTGTAGTTGCAGATCAGACCTACACAATGATCTGGAGTAATTTTGGACCACTCCTCTTCACAAAACTGTTTCAGTGTAGCAATATTCTTGGGATGTCTGGTGTGAATCGCTCTCTTAAGGTCATGCCACAGCATTTCAATCGGGTTGAGGTCAGGACTCTGACTGGGCCACTCCAGAAGGTGTATTCTGTGCTGTTGCAGCCATTGTTTTGTTGAATTACTTGTATGCTTTGGGTCATTGTCCTGTTGCATCACCCATCCTCTGCGGAGCTTTAGTTGGCGGACAGATGGTCGTACGTTTTCCTGCAAAATGTCTTGATAAACTCTGGAATTCATTTTTCCATCAATGACAACAATCCGTCCAGGCCCTGACGCAGCAAAGCAGCCCCAAACCATGATGCTTCCTCCGCCATGCTTTACAGTTGGGATGAGGTTTTGATGTTTGTGTGCTGTGCCTTTTTTTTCTCCACACATAGTGTTGTGTGTTCTTCCCAAACAACTCAATCTTGGTTTCATCTGTCCACAGTATATTTTGCCAGTAGTGCTGTGGAACATCCAGGTGTTCTTTTGCAAACTTCAAACGTGCTGCAATATTCTTTTTGGACAGCAATGGCTTCCTCCGTGGTGTCCTCCCATGTACTCCATTCTTGTTTAATGTTTTCCTTATTGTAGATGTGTCAACAAAAATGTTAGCATGTGCCAGAGATTTCTGTAGGTCTTTAGCTGACACTCTGGGATTCTTCTTTACCTCATGCAGCATTCTGCGCTGTGCTCTTGCAGTCATTTTTACAGGACGACCACGTCTAGGGAGAGTAGCAACAGTGCTAAACTTTCTCCATTTGTAGACAGTCTGTCTTACCGTGGACACATGAACATCAAGGCTTTTGGAGATACTTTTGTAACCCTTTCCAGCTTCATGCAAGTCAACAATTCTTGATCGTAGGTCTTCTGAGAGCTCTTTTCTGCGAGGCATGGTTCACATCAGACAGTGCTTCTTGAAACCAGTAAACCCAAAACAGGTGTGTGTTTTTTAAGGGCAGGACAGCTGTCAGCAACACATCCAATATCATCACACGGATTGGAGTCAAGGTTGGCTCACTCCTGGCTCCAATTAGCTCTGGGAGAAGTCATTAAGCTAGGGACTCACATACTTTTTCCTCCCTGCATTGTGAATGTTTACATGTTATGTGCAATTAAACCATGGCAACATCTAATGTTTGTGTAGTATTATGTTCAGCACACTGTTTTCTTCTATTGTTGTGACTTAGATGACGTTCAGAGCCCAATTCATGCAAAACTCCATGTAATCCCAAGGGGTTCACATACTTTTTCTTGCAACTGTAATTTTTTTTCACACAAATAGTTTTCTTTTGGTGGTATTTGATCACCACTGGGTTTTTTTTTTTTTATTTTTAATGTACAGTTAGGTCCATATACATTTGGACACAGGCACAATTTTCATACTTTTGGCTCTGTATGCCACCAGAATGAATGAAAATGAAACAATACAAATGAATGTGAAATGCAGACTTTTAGCTTTAATTCAAGGGGTTGAACATAAATATCAAGTACAAATATTCGGAACTGCAACCATTGTTATACACCGTCCCTCCATTTTCAGGGGCTCAAATGTAACTGGACAAATTAATATAATCATCATGTTCGTTCATTAACATTTTGTTGAGAACGCTTTTCTGGCAATAACTGCCTGAAGTCTGGAACCCATGGACATTACCAAAGATTGGGTTTCCTCTTTTCTAATGCTTTGCCAGTCCCTAACTGCAGCTGTCTTCAGTTGTTCTTTGTGAGTCTTTCTGCCTTTAGTTTTGCCTTCAGCAAGTGAAATGCATGCTTGGTTGGGTTGACATCAGGTGACTGACTTCGCCATTGCAGAATATTGCACTGCTTTTCCTTCAAAAGCTCCTGGGTTGCTTTTGCAGTGTGTTTTGGATCATTGTCCATCTGTACTATGAAGCGCCTTCCAATCAACTTAGTATATCTCTAAACACTGCTGAATTAATCCGGCTGCTTCTGTCTTCTGTCATATCATCAATGATCCAATGCCACTGGAAGCCATGCATGCCCATGCCATCACACTGCCTCCACCATGTTTTACGGATGACGTTGTGTGCTTTGGATCATGAGCTGTTCTAAGCCTTGTCCACACTTTTTTTTCTTACCGTCATTCTGGTACAGATTAATCTTCGTTTCATCCGTCCAAAGAATGCTTTACCAGAACTGGTCTGGCTTTTTTAGATGTCTTTTGGCAAAGTCTAATCTGGCTTTTCTATTCTTCAGGCTTATGAATGGTTGTGGTGAACCCTCTGTATTTGCTCTCCTGAAGTCTTCTCTTGATTGTAGACTTTGACAATGATATGTCCACCTCCTGGAGAGTGTTCTTCACTTGTTTGGATGTTGTGAATGGGTTTTTCTTTACCATAGAGAGGATCCTGCGATTATCCACCACTGTTGTCTTCCGTGGGCATCCATGCCTTTTTATGTTGCTGAGCTCACCAGTGCATTCTTCTTTCCTCAGAATGTACCAAACTGTTGATTTGGCCACTTCTAATGTTGCTGCTATCTCTCTGGTGGATTTGTTTCATTTTTGAAGCCTTACAATGGCCTGTTTCACTTGCATGGACATCTCCTTTTGAACGCATGATGTAGGTTCACAGCAATAAATTCCAAATGGAAATACCACACTTAGAATCAACTCCAGACCTTTTACCTGCTTAATTGATGAAGAAATAACGAAGGAGTAGCCCACACCTGGCCATGAAAACCGCTTTTGATTCAATTGTCCAATTATTTTTGGTCCCTTGAAAAAGGGGGGATGGCTACTCTTAAGTGCTGTAATTCCTAAACCCTTCCTCCAATTTGGATGTACATACCCTCAAATTAAACCTTAGAGTGTGCACTTTCAGTCCATTAATACCTGAAAAAAACTAAAATAGTGCCTGTGTCCAAATATATATGGACCTAACTGTAAATGGAAAAAGACCAACATTTTTGAAAAAAAAAGTTTTTTTTTACTTTCTGCTATAAAAAAAACATCCAATATATTTTAAAAAAATGTTTCTTCATAAATTTAGGCTAAAATGTATTTTGTTACATGTCTTGGGATTTTTTTTTTGTTTTTTTAATGGTGGTGCTCAGCAACTTGTGACTGTGATAGTGTGACAGACAATCTGACACTGACGCTATGTGGGAACTGACTGACATCACCAGTGACACTAATACAAGAATCAGTGCTAATACTGTACATTGTCACTGTACTAATGACACTGGCTGGGAAGGGGCTAATATCGAGGGGCAATCAAAGGGTTAACTGTGTGCCTTGTAGTGTGTAGTGTGTGCTGATTTTACTAAGCTGATGTTTGTTTTTTATCTCTGCTTTGAAGGGGAAAAAACAGCACATTTCTGCTCTCGGTAAAGAGCCCTGTGGTGTTAGTAAATACAGGGTTCTCTACTGTCATTCACTAAGCCGATCAGCAGGTCCCGGGCTTAAATTATTGGCTGGAACCTGCTGATTGGCTTGTGCTGTAGCAAATGACAGCACAGAAGGGGTGGTGAGCATGCGCGTGGCCCCCCTATCCAGAAATGCTGGGTCATGTACATTTATGTGATCTGGCGTAGAGAGGTTGACTTGCTGCAGTAAATCCACATGCGGTGGTCGGCAAGTGGATAAGGTTTCACACTGTTGGGCCGTTAGCTTCACATATTTTAATGCTATATTTATCATTTATTTTAGAAAACATTGCTCAAAAATATAAATTTGTGTTTTTGTTTTTTTAGGACAGTTTAGCAATCGTGTATGATATGCACAATCCAACTCAGTACACAATTTATGAGCCGGTAATCAGGATTAAAGGAAGTATAAAACTTGCATCATCCCAAAGACCATTCAGTGCAAAGGAAGTGTCTAGCAAAACTCTGGATTCCCAGGCACTGAAAATGCTGCAACCATGCCTTGAGGGAAACATACACAGTGTTCTGCATGAGATTGGAGGAATTCGAGCCATGGTGTATTTGTTTGCACGGGTACATATTAGTGATCATTTTATAATGGATATACATTTCTGTTAAAATTTAAATGCACTGTGTGATGCCATGGTTCATATAGAACTGTAAAATGTAACAAAAACTGTTATTTCTACTTATTTGCCTTTGAACATTTTTCAAGTGTTTTGAATGAAAAATAACTCCCATGACCCCTTTTTTTTTTTTTTTTTTTTTCCCCCACTATACACCACATGTGCTTTGCTGTAACACGTCAATGCCTGTTACCTCAGTGGGCCCTTACACTTTTATTATCCACCCTAACAAGTCTTTTAGCTTTATGATTGATTTGGTTTAAGCTAACATTTATGTGTAGGTCAAATTTAATTCAGCATTTAAGAGTGCTAGCATCATGTATAGTAATTTTTTAATGCAATATTCGTTGAGCATTCTTTATTGGCACTCTTTTTAAAGCAAAAGCTGAGGTGTCTCAAGAATCATGTGCTTAATCTCCAAGATTTGAGTTATCTTTTTGAAAGCCTGGTACAGCAAAAACACATCCACAAAGAAAAAACAGATTGACGCATTGTGCAGATTTCTTTGGTACATTGAAAAAAAAAAATATTACATAATTATCATATACCATTATTGTAACACCTTATTCTTTATTGCGTATTTAGTGCTTTGTGCTTGAGCAGCTTACCAGACTCACAGCTCCATTGCACATGTACTGAACAGTAGATATGCATGTCAGGAGACATGATTTCATTTACAGTTAAAAGATTAGTTTATTTTGTGTATTTTTATGAGATTTCTAATTATTTTCTGAGTATTGCTTATTAATAATACTGTATTTTAACATTTACATTTTTTAGACTGTGGAGATTAGCAGCTGTGAAAAGACTCAATCAATGGGATTAGAGATAATATTGTCCTTTAACCAAATACAACCAGCAGAGAATTCAAGAGAGCAAACACTGTGATCTTTATTCAATGATTCACCAAATCTTAGTACGTCCTAAATGCATTGTCGGATTTCATACTTTAAAGGTAGGTCCTGTTGGGAACCTTATTTATCATTGTGGAGTAGTTGTTTAACTGCTTCCCTGATGCCCTATAGTAGAACTACTGCTGCAAGGCGGCAGGGCTGTGCAAAATCACATATATACATGATTTGCATTTCCAGGTAGAGAGTGAGCGCCACCCGGCCTGCGGCGCCATTGGCGGCTGTTGATGGCAATCACTGGGTCCCGGACAGAGATTCCCATCCCCACCGGCTCCTGGCGATCGCCTAGTTACACTGACAAGCTAGAGACCTGTGTGTAAACAACACAGGTCTCTCTCCTGGCAGGAAGAACATGCTGCGGTGTGTTTCTCTGCTTCTCTGAAATACACAGCTGCATGTTTCCCTAGTAAAACACACAGAGGACATTATGTAAAACAGCACACAGTTAACCCTTTGATCGCCCCAGATGTTAACCCCTTTTTACCCAGTGTCATTAGTACAGTGTCAGTGCTTTTTATTAGCACTGATCACTGTGTCAATGATGTCAGTGTGGTCAGTTCCCACCCAGTGTCAGAATGCCGCCACAGTCCCGCTATAAGTCGCTGATCGCCGCCATTACTAGTATAAAAAATAAAAATTCCAGTATATATACCGCCATTTGTAGACACTATAACGTTCGCGTAAACCAATCAATTTGCGCGTACTGTGTTTTTTTTTTTTTTATAGAAAAAAGTCATATTTTTTTAATTTTTTTTTCAAAATTGGCAGTCTTTTTTTTTTTTTTTTTGTTTATAGCACAAAAAATGCACAGGTGATCAAATACCACCGAAAGAAAGCTCTATTTGTGGGAAAAATGTGACATAAATTTCATTTATGGACAGTGTTGCATGACCGTGCAATTAAGGTAATGCAGCGCCATAAATGGCCTGGTCAGAAAAGGGGTGTTAAAACCTCTGGAGGGAAAGTGGTTAATGGAAATATTTTTTCTTAAATGTAAAGATTTTATCTAAAGCAAATCTCACAATTTTTCAAAACGCTTAGAGGAAGATTTTTGGGAGAAAAAAAAAAATACAATATGTTTAAAGTGGAACTTTTATTCAGAAAATTACGTCCTGCTAGATCACTTCAGGTTGGCCCCTTTCGCAGGTATAACTTTGTAAAACATTACAAATAAGTGCCTATACTGTTTAAAGTCAAGTCATACACTGTCTATCCTTCCCTGCAAATGCTCAGTTGCTCTCTATTTTTTGGCACTGATTTTGAGGTTGATCTGCTGACTGCCTCAAGATTCTGCTACTCAGGGGTTATGGGCTTCAGCAAAATGTCAGTCTCCAGCAAGAAGACACAGGAACAGTGCAGGAGACAATTTACAGCAAACACTTATTTTGCTAGCATAATTATTTGGACTGTGTGTTCCTTGCTAAAGAACACTTTCTTTTTTTAATCAAGTTATTTAAGTGGCTTTAAACCCTTACACACATACCCAGTGAAGTGAAGTGGTATCAGTTTTTCTGCAGTCTTCTCTCCTCTACATCCTTCCAAAGTCCAGAATCTATACAGCCTAAAGCCTGGTTCACTCCAATGAATTGTGCTTTTTGTCCATTTTGAAGTTCTTTTTGAAGTGTGTTTTTGCTCAATTTTCTTTTTTGCATATGAAAAAGTCCATGACCCTTTCCAAGAATACAGCAGCTCAAAAAAGCATAGATGTGAACATGCCCCATAGGAAACCATGTTAAATGGACTGTAGTTTGTTTCTGCAAAAAGCAATAAAAAATGCATTGGTGTGAACCAGGCCTAAGAGTTCAGAGAAAAGAGGAAAGAGCTGAAATACACTCTGCAGAGCTCAGTGAGGAGAGTTCTGAGAGCTGATTGGAAGAAAGAGACACACCCCTCTTCACAGAGCACACAGGAACAGAGCTCAGGCTGTCAATCTGCTGGAGGTAAAAGAAAAATGTGAAATACTACTGCGCTGACAGTGCCCCTTTAAAATTCCTGTAGTGTAATAGCTTGGATATTGCAATGGTTAAAAGTCACTAAAATGCATGGTTGCTGCCCCCCTTAACCTAATGCACAAATATAAAGAAAAACACCAAAGAAGACACCACCATTAGATATAATGGTAAATAAAGGGTTAAAATCAATATTGCACTCACTTTATAAAAAGAACGTAAAACTCATCATGTGCTCAGGGAAGGCATCCTGGAACCATAAGTATCTACAGAGTTCAGTAGGCAAGTGGCTGGGCAATGCTGAGGCAGCTGGGAAGCTGGAGAATTCCGCAGGCAAACAGCTGTTTATTGCAGAGTTAAGCCAGGAGGCTGCTGGTGAGAGGGGCGAGAGACCACTGTGTACTATGGAACGCAAGCATCTTCTCTGGTTTCTGTGTGGAAAGGTGGTGGCCAGGTTTGGCTGAGAGCAGCTCCAGTCAGGATCCTTTGGATTGGCAGTGACATCAGGGCATCAAAGGAGGTGTGGCTACGTGTTTAAGTAATTTAGGACCACCAGTTTATCAAACCTTGAATCTTTAAACTATTCCTCTGTTTAACCCCTTAACGTTTAGTTTACTTTAATTACCTCTAACTCCTTATTCTCTTTCTCCATTCAGCTATTGTGTTCCTGCTGATTTTTTTTTTTTTTTAATTTTTTAACCAATAACATTTAAACTTTTTTTGTTTAATATTTTTACACATTTAACATATATTTACAAATTTCACGTTTAAAAAAAGCACAAAATTAAAAAAAATAATAATTTGTATATAACTCTGCAGTACTTTGTACCAGAAACATAATGTTAGTGTCATTTTTGACAAATTGCAAAATAAAAATTAACACTCTTTATTTGCAGTAACATTATTTATTTTTAAGCGAACACTGGTTGGGTCAAAAAAGTATAGTAAAGTTTAGTTTTTAAAGTTTAGTCTGAGGTTTGGAAAAATATAGCATCATTTTTGAAAGACAATATTGTCAAAAGAAAGCCTTGCTTGTCCTTAAAAAGACAATGTATGTTTTACTTTATCTTAACCACTTGAAGACCAAACATTTTCTGGCACTTTTTGTTTACTTGTTCAAATATTTTATTAACATTTTAACGGGGTTAAGACAAGGACATTAGACATTTTGTAAAATAAATGTAAAGACTTTTTTTAGTTACGGAAGTAATGTTATTATTGATGAGGGGAGAAGAAGAGTGCTGATACACCAATAATGCATTTGGAATGGCAGGAGGTAATCAAAAGCAGTATTCATAAATATAGCAAGATTGTAACAAATAGAGAATCATGCTCCCCAGTGCTGTGTAGGGGGGTCAGGATATGGGAACAGAAAATTAAGATGATCAAAAGAAAAGGAAAAAAAAGAAAAGGGGGGGGGGGGGATTTTCAGAGAAGAAAGAGAAAAAAAAAGGGGGGGGGATGGAGGGGAGTAGGGTAAGGATTACCAAAGGTAGGTGGGGAAGGGAGAGAAGAGGTAGTTTGACTCTACAAGTGATAAATAGTAAGGGGGTATCATGTGATGTCACTAAGTATGGTATCAAGATAGTGCAAGATATATGGGTTTATCATGGGGGAAGTGAGTCATCAAAATTTGATGGGAGGAAACGCTACCCATGGGTTCCAGACACTCAGAAATTTAGGTATAGTATCTAGTATCATAGCTTCTACTTTAGCGTGAATCATAGCCTGTGTAACGTTATTCCTAACTGCTACGATGCAGCTATGAGAGGGAGATTTCCAGGATTTAGCTATGACCTATTTGGCTGCTGTGGTTACTTGTAGAAGTTTAAATTGCGGTTTAGTAACGCCAGGAGTGCTATAACTGGGTCTGGTTGAAGCCTTTTTGCAGTAAGTCTGGACAAGATACCAAAAATGCCACCCCAAAAGGCTTGGACAATCGGGCAAGTCCACCATATATGAAAAATGCGTACCTGGGCCTGCACAGCCTCTAAAGCAATCGGGGGAGTAGTTTGGTGTGTATTTTGCAATTCTGAAGTCCAATGTTTAAATGAGAGAGGAGAAGACCAAGCTGGGGGAAAGGCCGGGTTTCAGATGTAGGAGAGCAAGGGGTTGTGTAATGATTGCAGAAGATAATGGGATTTCAGTTTATCCCAAAGTGACAAGAAGTGGGACGTGATAGGGTTCGTTATCGAATGACTATCTATGGGTCTTAGCCATAGAAGGTTAGCGGTAGACAGGAGGTCACAGTCTATAAATTCAAGGACTACCCATTGGGGGCTTTCGTGGGTCGCGTGATACTTGGGTAATTGTGCTAGATGCGCCGCCTGATAGTACTTACCAACGTCTGGAAGACCAAGACCGCTGCCAAGTTTGGGGCGATGGAGGGTTGAACGAGGTATACGGGTGCGAATAGTGCCCCAAACATAGGAGAATATACATGTTGTAAAACGCGAAGGTAGTGTGCAGGTACTGGGATAACTCTGAATAGATATAAAATTTTGGAGAGGATTGACATCTTCACGACTGCTATCCTACCCAGCCAGGCAAGTGGTAAGGTGGACCATTTTGTCATAAGTGCTGTGAGATGGGTTTGCATGGGTGTATAATTAGCTGCATATAAATCCGATAAGGTGGAAGTCAGTTTTATAAAAAGCAATAGAGTGCTGTGACCAGGAAAACGGGAGAATCAGTTTCAGGTGGGCTAAGTCTCTAGGGGGAAAGGAAATATTAAGTGCTACTGATTTCTGAGGATTTATTTGGAGGCCTGAAAGCGAGCCGGAGGAGAGGATGTCAAGGGGGAAGTTAGAGTAGAACGTCATCGGCAAAAAGACATAACTTGTGGTGAGTACCACCTATCTCCAATCCACGGACACCGGGATTAGCTCTGATCAAAAGGGCCAATGGTTCTATGGCCAAGGCGAAAAGTAGGGGGGATAGAGGCCAGCCCTGCCTGGTCCCACGGGAAATTGGGAATTGAGCTGACCTGTGCCCTAGGTATCTAATTCTAGTTGAGGGCTCACGATATAGTGAGAAGATCCATGTTAAGAAGTGGTGGCCAAAGCCCCAACGGCGCAGAATATAGTGTAAATAAG